GACAAAGGTTTGACTTTATTGATATCGGGTCCGTATTTTGGTTTCGGAACCTGGTATATATCCATTATTATATTCATGACTTGTCTGACAAATTTGGTGAGAAACGAAGTCGGTTTGACGTGATTCGGACGCCCGGTTGTCAAAATAGAAGTTCATGAGTTTTCTTGAAAATTTTATTTGATTTGGTGTCCAATTCGTAATGCTAGGTGTTATTTGGCAATTTGATCATGTGAGAAAGTTTGTATGATGTTTTTGGACTTGTGTGCATGTTTGGTTTAGAGCCCCAAGGGCTCGAGTGAGTTTCGGATAGGCTACGGAGTGAAATTTGACTTAGAAACATTGCTGATATGCTTCAGTTCTGGTGCTGGTCTCTGATCTCGTCGCGAGGTCAGTGTTCACAATTGCGAACGTTCCAAAGTTCTGTCAGGTTTGCATTTGCGAAGAACTTCTTCGCATTTGCGAAGAATGCCTGAGTCAGCAAGGATCGCAATTGCGATCAGAAGATCGCATTCGCAGGGAGACCAGAGTTCGCATTTGTGAACATTTCATCGCAAATGCGATGAAAGCAGAGGTTCGAAGATTTCACAATTGTGAGGTATTTTTCGCATTTGTGTGGGTTCACGCGACATCTACAACTGAACAAATAGGAGTTAGACGGGATTTTCTCTCATTCTTCAAATTTTCAAAACAAGAAAACCCTAGAGGCGATTTTCCCAAGAGCCCATCTTCCCCAATCCATTGGTAAGTGATCCCAACCTATCTTCTTTCAATCTTTCATTACATTTCATAAGATATCAACCTAAAATCTAGTGTTTTCATGGTGGAAATTGGGGGTTTGGGTAGAATTAGGGATTTTTGTAAAATTGGGATTTAGACCTCAAATTGAGGTCGGACTTCAAAACAAATTACATAACGGGGCTCGGGGGTGGATGGGTAATCGGGTTTTGGTTTGAATTTTGGGTTTGGAACAAGTGGGCCTAGACGTTGACTTTTGTTGACTTTTTTAATAATGACCTGAATTGAATCTTTTGCAATTGTGGGTAGTTCCTAAGGATTATTTTGAATCGTTTGGTTGGTAATTTGCTAGATTTTTTTGGTTCGGAGGCTTGTTCGAAAAGCAAAGTTGTGGTTGAGGTTAGGCTCGACACTTACGGAGTACATGTGGTTGGTTGTACTCATACTACACTCTGCACTTCTTGTGCAGATTTTAGTATTAGTCCTAGTTGCCCGTAAGGTGCATTATCTCGGATCGGCTAACTTGGACACTCGAGGTAGATCTGCTGGCGTCCGCAGACCTTAAAGTTCCCTTCCATTTCCCCTTATTTATTGCTCTTTTCATTTGAGACAATTGTACTTATTTCAGACTCTGTTTGTAGAAATTCTAGAAGCTCGTGAATTGTGACTCCAGATCCGGGTTGTACTAAATATTATTGGTTGTTATGTTATTCCTCACTCGGTTTTAGTTTCATTTTGGTTTAATTGACTTTACTTATTAAAATTAATTAAATTGGCTTAAAGATCCTCTAACATTGGCTTGCCTAGCAAGTGGAATGTTAGGTGCCATCACGGTCTCGAAGGTGAGAATTTTGGGTGGTGACACAATAAGTTCATATGATGATTTTGGACTTGGGTATATGTTCGGGTTGAGTATCGGGTAGCCCGGGAGCATTTCGGCGCTTATTGTGGAAAGTTGGCATTTTGAAGGTTTTGGAATTTTCTAAGTTTGGTTTGCGGTGGACTTTGGTGATATCGATGACTATTTGGGGTTCCGAGCCTTGGAATAGGTTCTATCGTGATTTGTGACTTGTACGTAAAGTTTGGCATCATTCCGGAATGTTTAAGTATGATTCGGACGCGTTGGTCAAAGTTTTAATATTGAAAGTTAAAAGGAGGATTTGATCGTTGATTCATGGCTTTGATGTTGTTTGGTGTAATTTGATGCCTCGAGTAGGTTCGTGTTATGTTTTGGGACTGGTTTGTGTAATTGGATGGGGTTCCGGAGGCCTCGAGTGTGACTTGAGGCCTCTTATTTGATGTTTCAACATCATTTCTTTGGACATAAAGGGTACCATATTGAGAAAACAACATATTATTTGTGATTAGATTGAACCATTAGATCCATATTATAATTACGAAACCATAGCAACAAGAATCGTCGAATTCCGATGTTGTATGAGAGAGTTACGCCATTTCCGTGTCAGACAAAATTGCCGGTTTCTGGTGCAAAGATTTGTTCTTCGCAAACATGAGAGGCGTTTTGCGAACGCGAAGAAGGATTTCTGGGTTGACCGGTCAACGCGAAAAATTTCTCTTCGCGAACGCGAAGGTCTCCCGCGAAGACGATGAAGAAAAATCATCTGGGCAGTGTTTTAAACCGAGAATTTTAGTATTTTGGGCATATCCTGAGTTCTAAAGCTCCATTTAAGGTGATTTTTGCGACATTGTTCTCGTCTCAACAAGGGGGTAAATATCTGACCTTTATTTTGATATTTTTCCATGATTATTTCCGTTGGTTATTATTTTTATCCATATTTGGATTGTAGAAATTGGAATTTTGAGCCCCAAAGTCGAGAAATGGTAAATCCTTGATTTAAGGGTCAATTCATGGAAGAAATTGGATGATTTTGGGAATATAAACTATATAAGTTATGGGTAATAATTATTTTCGATAATTTTTAAAATCCAAACGCGTGGGCCCGTGGGTTGACTTTGTTGACTTTTCTTGAGGAGTTGGGAATTTATTTCTAACTATTAAATTATGAGTATTGGAGTATATTTTGATTTGTTTGCACGATGTTTGATTATTTTCGGATCGTTTGGCATCGGTTTGAGGTGTTAGAAAGGCGTTGAAGCCAGTTATCGGATTTCCAAGCGAGGTTAGTCTCCTATCTAACCCTGTGAGGGGGATTTACCCGGTAGGTGTTATATTCTTATGTGCTACATGTTGTTGGAGTTGCGCACGTATGAGGTGACGAGTGTCCGTGCGTATGATAGAATTCCTGATTATGTCCGGTAGACTTAGATTCACGCCATGCTATAATTGTACTATTTTAGTTATCTTTGCTCATTTAGTTCCTTTATTTTGCGTTATGATTTGAGACTAGACTTGCATAGGGTGATAGAGTCACTATTGTAAAGATGTGATGAGCTACTTGATAATCCGTCGAATAATTGTGCTTCCTTTACGAACTTCTCTCGCGTTGTGCATTTTCTTCGAAAAACTTGTTTGAATTTCATAACTCACACGTATATTCGTGAGTGGGAAAGTATCATATTCTTATGGGAGCGGGTCGTTCGCCTCGGTAGTATAATATATGCATCTATGGTGTGTGTCGTTCGACACTCGGCAGTGTACACGTTTTGATGGGATCGGGTCATTCGCCTCGGCATTTCTATAAATACTCTTATGGGATCGGGTCGTTTGCCTCGGCAGTGTTGCGCTTAATATTTAACAAGAAGCCATCAGATCCGTGAATTTTCCCGATTTGAGTTGTGACGATCTATCTGGTGGGGACCATTTTACATATGTACTCCGGTTAAGGAGGTAACTGATAATTGAGAGCTTGGGGTTACTGTTCAGAGGAGGATCCTACCACGTACCTATATCTGTTTACACTGATTATTTACCATGCCTCATACTTGTTTACTTTCTATTGCACTTGATATATCGGATCACTACTAAGTGTCGATTTCGATCGCTCGTCACTACTTCTCTGGGGTTAGGCTAGACACTTACTGGGTACGCATTGATTTACGTACTCATGCTACACTTGCTATACTTTCTGGTGGTCCTCTGGGCGCAGGGGCGCAACTATTGCGGGGATTTTACAGTGGGTTGCATTCCATGTTACGATCTGCAGCATACAGAGTCTCCATCAGAGTTACTTACATTCTCCTGTCTAACTTGTACTCCAGACAGATATTGTATTCTATTATATTTCGTAGTAGATGCTCATGCACTTGTGACACCGGATTTTGGGAGTTCCTACTGAATGTTCATTATTGTAGTTCACGCAATTATTGTCATTTCACCTTGTAAATTTATATTTTTACTGAAATTGGTAAATAAAATCACGGGTTTTCTACAAGTATCAGATTTTACTCTATTTATCGAATGAGACTTATGATTTCAAAAAAAAATGAATAACTAAGTTGATTAATCACCATTGGCTTGCCTGACGGCGGTGTGGCGGTGTTAGGCGCCATCACGATCTATAATGGATTTTAGATCGTGACAACAAAGAAACTATAGCGACCAAGGATAATATGTATTACAAATCACATAATTTCATTACGGGGAAATGTGCGTTTTTGACAATATTGATCTAGAAAACTTACACAATTCATAAAATTAAAATTTCGGTTCCGCCTCTACTAGTCCAGATAGAGCATTGAACTGCAAGGATTCATTATATGATATGTTGTACGTTCAGAGCCATTTTTGAATATTAATGCAAATGCTAACCAATTTATATATCCTTCAGTGATTTTTAAACCATCAAAGATAACATGAGTTTACCCTCAATTTTAGAAAGGATTTAACTTATATACAATGACAATGATAAGAATATTTACACTATTTTAATGTATTGTAACAAGTTATCTAAATTATCTTCCATGTTAATAATCCCCTTTATTATGAACACTACAGTTACTTGTAATTAGTATCTTTTTAGGTGAAAGAATTACACTATAAAGATTATTCGAAAATCTCTGGCCTTGGAGTAAAGTTTTAGTAGAAACCAATGCCCAGTAATCCGAAGTTACTCATGAACCTCCCACAACGACAACCATAACCCAGTGTAATCTCACAAGTAAGATCTGGGGAGAGTAGTGTATACGTAGACCTTACCCTAACCTGTAAAGATAGAAAGGTTGTTTCTGATATATTCTCGACTCAAGAAAAGCATAATCACGACAGTTTTGAAAAAGAAATATGGTAGTGAAGTAGCCATGAAAAAAGAAACCAATAACAATATCAAGATTATAAGATTATCGAAGCAAAAGAAACAACTGGTAGTAATAAAAATCTAAAAATAAGAAAATACGAGAATAATACTAATACTACTGTATGAAAAAGAAATACGCTCGATTACCTATTAATCTTTTACCCTAATTCTCGATTTTTATCCTATCAAGAGTCATGTTCTCGGTAAGCTAAAAATAATCCATATATCTTGTGTAATCACCTCTTCTCAATACTTATTCAGTCTATCTCTACCTCTCCTTATACTCAACATTGTCACCATTACTCATGAACCTCCATTTAAGACAAATTAAGGATCATTTCGGCTAGCTTTTCTTCAAGTGTAGATACATCCATGCATGAAACATCAGTGACCTGCAAAGATTAATAGTAATGAAGGTGAAATATTAATTATTGAGATAAAGATGCCACATACCTAAACTCTGGATTGAGTGAACTTTTTTTTTTTTTTTTTTACTATACTAACTCGTTGTAACAAGTATTCTGCCTTATTTTCAGGTTACTAAATCCTACTTTTATATGGATATTACCTATAGTTATTTTTTAAATGACCTGATAGTTACTATAAGATTGAAATGTTTTGCCAACAATATTTTTCATTTGCTAAATGTTGAATGTTTTGGCAATAATAAAAAGTTGTTTCATGTCATTGGGAAAACACCAATGCGAAAGGTCCATGCAACAAGAATTAATGTAGTTTCCAAAGGCTAAGTTAACACAACAAAATTAAACATGTTATATTAATTATGTGTTCTTGTTAAACACTCAAATAATTGTGGCTTATAAAAGCATTTTGCAAGAAAAATATTTGTATATCATCTTTTTTTTTCAAAAGAGAAGTGTTTATTTGATAGTGTGTGTATATATATATATATATATACCTCAACCTGAATTTTGTGGAGGGATGTTTCATCTACTTTAGTAGAAACACAAGTAACAACATTTAATTTTCTCTTCACGAGTTCTTCAACCACTTTTGAAAGAGGAAGCCCTTCTTTTCCAAACTTTTTTATGATCAAAATCTCCACACCATCTTGACAAGGATTCACTGTCAAATACTCGTCTAAATTATATTTATGGATGCTTTCCTTATCCTCCCTGTTGGAATAATGGGCCAAAAGTTTCAGCTTGTCTCTCTTTTTTTCCAAATCATTAATACTATTCTCAAGGTGTTGGATGTAATTCATCGCTTGTTCCAAATGGTCTGATGCCGAACGTTTCCCCTAATTAAATAAAAAATGTTAGATCAACATACATAACTAGGGTTTTATACAAGTTTTTCACATAAGCATATGCAGAATTTTGCAAAACCGATATCGACATATTCTTACAATCCAGCTTGTAATTTTCTATCTTGTGTTGCACAAACGGTGTTTCGCATAAAAAGAATAGCCTGGTGCACAAGACATCCCGTGTTCACCCGGAGTCTGGGGAAGGGCCGGACCCCGAGTAGACAGCCTAACTTAATGCAAGCATTATTAGTGACCGGTTCCACCGCTCGAACCCGTGATCTATAGGTCACACGGAAACAATTTTACTGTTGCTCCAAAGATCTCCTTCTTTATATTATTTTCTAGTAGTGTCGGATGACAGCTGCCCATACAGTACATAAGTTTTTTACACCATAAACTCTCTCTAGCAAGAGTAATAATTAAAGAAAAAATATGAACTGGATATATACCTTGAGAAATTCAAGAGGAAGATGTGATCTAAGAGAAGTATAAAGATTAGCCATTTCTTGTCTCCTTTGTCTTTCAACATCTCTATGTGCAATTATTCTGATGAGCTTGTTTTGATCCATGGTCTCATTACTAGTACTCTCTGTTGAAACACTTGATAATAATCTTCTTGATCTTTTCTTTTTAATAGTATCATTTCTTGGCAAGGAATTAGTGCCAATAATCTTGACCAAATCTTGTTGGGGTAATTGACATGGAGTAGAAGGGATCTGAATCTCCTGATGATAAATATCATATTCTTGGATTTTGTGAAAAGAGAAGATTTCTGAGAGAGGATCCATACAGTGTTTCCTCCTTAACTTTTTTTTTTTTTTCTAAATTTCTTTATATAAAGCAAAAGATATGTTGGTTAGGGTTTGAGATCTTCAGTGGGGCTGTCTCTGTCTCTCTCTCTCTATATATATATATATACACTATTTTCCATAAACAAAGAAAAAAACATATGATGTGATATGTAGTACTGGTCATTATTTCTATATCCCAGTTCACACTTTGGAGGAACAGCTTTTTCGTTCAAATAAAAAAAATTATTATTAAGGGGAGAATGAACCCTCATACAAAGGAGTTGCAAAATCCGAGGTTTATGAGTTCTTAAAGTGATTTTAATTTAATGTACAATAATAAATTTGGTTCACAATTAAATATTTATAATTTTTATTAAATTTTTCAATATACATATAAAATCTGAAAAAAAGTTACTAGGTACATATAAGATAGATCTACCCCTGTCCAATAGGACGAAGGGGAAGAAATTAAGAAAAAGATGCCCTTGGTAAGATTTGAACCCTATCCTAATTGATGCAACTTATTACTATAAACTTTTTATTTAGTATTATTTACTAAGCCTTAATTTCGTTCGATTCGGATATTAAACTATACATTTATATTTATGTATGTATATCTACTAGTTTTGGAACATGCGCGTTATGTTGTATCATCTGTGTTAATTAGTAAATAATTTAATAGATCACATAAATATTTATATAAAAAATATTTAAGCTATAAAATAAAAATAAAAAAAATATGAAAAAGAAACCTTGCTCCACAAAAGTCCTTAGATGCTTTCTTGAATTTTTATTAAGGATAAACCTAGATTATTATGTCGATATTCTATTTATCTATTTTAGACAGATCTAATCAGTCTCGGTTTTGCATGTAGATAAACCAAACCAGACTTCATTTGCTATATATGAGGCAAAACTGCTACCTGGATTGTGTAATTAGTAAATAGAAAACGAAACAATAATAATAATAATACAAATTTCCTGTGATTATGGCAAAAAGACTAAAAATAAATCATGGCTACTCGGTAAGTTGATCATGTGCAGAGTAACGTTATTTCATATCAGAAGGAAAATCTATCAGATAATTGACTTAGCTAATCTTTAGCTGCAAGGTTTTACCCTTCAAATGATGTTAGGACTTAGGTTTCAGAATTCATATGTAAAATCTATTGAAATTATAGAATCATAATCTCCTGCATAAGTTAGAGATATCCATCTAAGATAAGAAAATAATTTTGTCATTTAAAATGGAAAAGAAAAGAAAACATGTACTACGGGATCAAAACAATAGAGTCATCTCAAGATCATGACTAAAAAGTACTAAATATACAGTGAGTTCAAACCTCTAAAGAAAAAGAAAAAGAAAAGTCTCCAAAGTAGCTAAACGAACAATATATAGAAGACCCTAAAAAAGAAAATAAAAAAATCACATCTTCGATCAAAACGAATACAGATCGATCCAAATCATGTTAGCAATACTTTTAGTAGTAGATCTGCATACCTTATTATTAAGCAGAAATAAGTCTTAAATCGTAATGACTATTACGATTGCTTGTGGTCAAGACAAGTGATTCTTGTATAAGAAGATATCAATTTGTTCCTTTAGCATCTGTTATGGCAAAAACTGGCATACAAAAGAAAATAAAACTTACCACATTCTTTTCTTCCAAGCTAGTCAATTGATTGAATTGGTGGTGACTAATATATTAAAACTAATGCAAGTGTAGAAACGGTTTAAGGGTAGACAATGAAATGCTAAAATGGTTAACACAAATTCTGAAGTTGGTGAAATCAATTGTTTCGACTTACACAACGTATACTAAGGTTTTAATGGACTTTACGCATCACCAAATTTGAGTTTGCACCAATACAATGTATCTATTTTATTGTTTTCAAAGGGGTAATTTACTATTTTGTATTCCTTTTTAATCGAAAGTGTTCACTTGTATAGAAATTCTTGTCGGATTAGATTGGGTTTAAAATGGTAGTTTAATTTTTTATGAGTATTTTGATAATTTAATTTTCAACTTTGGACTTTACACTTATAATATAGTGTAATGATGATGATGATATGATGTATTTAGTTATACTTAATTACTACATGGTAATTATCCTCCGATAATGATTAACTATTTGTTGTCTATCCTATGATATTATTTATATGATGATAACTTATAAGTGTATATTAGACAACACAATTTCGATTTATCCAAGTCTATAATACTAACATTTGGCTACGAATATATGTAGGTATAAATAATGGGATTATACGTACTATCCGTAGTTGAACAACAGATTCCTCCCCCTACTTATGAAAAAACGTAAATAAATAAATAGGAGCCTAAACTCAATATCAACAACCATATCTTTTAATTGACACAACACAACATAATCAATTAGAGAAAATCTTATTGATTATATTTATATCCCTAAAAAGCATCCATGTAAGCAAAGATTCCGAGGTTTAAGCAAACCAAATTAATAAATTGTCATTTCTAAGCAATATCGACCACTATCCATTTTTTTAATTTTCTTGGAAAGATTTGTTATCATGATCATGTTTTATTTTCTTAATACCATTATTATATTATATGATGGAAAAAGATTTTGCAGATAGATGGAGAGGTGTGTCTTACCTGGTGATCTGGATTTGGTTACGAGTGTAATATTAGAAATTGTTTGATATGTGTCTAGCTGATGGGATCCATACAGCTTATAATTAGAGAAAATGATATTATATAGTCGCTCTCAAAATAAAAGTCGAAAAATATATATTTTTTTGTATATATATACATTATGTATGTTATATACAAAAATTATACAAATTTTATATATTTTTTTTACTACTGAATATAAATAGTTTTTTGCGCGTGCTAAAAGTAATACATTGCTATTATAATTTTGCAAACACTCATATGATTATGGCTTTTTATGCAGCCCCTTATCAACACATTGGTTTCTCTTTCTCTGTTCTTTTATGCATTAAGAATAGGTAAACCATTACATAAAATTGAATAAAAGTGATAGAACAATCTCAACTAATAGCAAAAATTGAATAAAGATAGAAGTTTAATCTGTACTTTTAGCCAACTATTGATACATCCACACACCATTGAGGCATGTGTGATGGATTGGTTCAGACCCCTTCATTACTAATCAGAGACTTTCTGCCTTTGGTTTCAGAGCTTTGAAAAGGGAGAACGTTCATGTAGTGTGTGTATATATGTACCAAACTACCTCTATGATCATAGGTGGACCTAGAGTATTAGGAGTGCTGAAATCCTTCATCATCTATCATCATATATATNCTCCCAGCCTCCCTAGCCATCTGAAGACGAATCGGCTGGATAAGGCCGTAAATAAACCTCCTAACCCTCTCTCTCTCTCTCTCTCAAACTGCCTCCGATAGGCCTCTCTCTGAGTAATGGGGAGAAACTTCTCTAGAAATAGCTGTGTGAAATGCTCCCATGTCAAGGCTGGTGATCCTGCTGGCCTAGCTAAGCAACAATCCCTCCACCAAGTCTTGGCGGATCCAGACAAGCGAAATGTAGCGAAATCAACCCCATTGGTCTCAACAATACCCATGTTCCGAAGAACCTCGTGGTAGTTGTCCAGGTAATCTTGAGGATCCTCGGTAGATACACCGCTGAAGGTAGTAGTGAAGAGCTTGGTGAACCTATCCAATCTCCACAAAACATCGGCAGACATAGCTGCTCCATCACCGGCCTGGGCTACCACGCCCGGCTGAGTTGCTCTAACTGGCTGAACTGCTGGAGTCTGAGTCTGGGGAGCTACCTGCTCCGGAGTACGAGTAGCAGGAGTCTGGGCTCCTCCTCCAGCCTGAGAAGTGGCTGGTGCTACAGGAAACAAGCCTGCTCGGGTGACACTCTCCATGAGGCCCACTAACCGGACCAGAGCATCCTGAAGAACTGGGGTAGCAATAAACCCCTCTAGGACTTGAGCTGGGCCCACCGGAACTGCTGGGGCCGGAACCTCCTCGTCAAAATCAACCTGAGGCTCCGCCACTGGTGCTCCTGCTCGGGGCTGAGCTCTGCCCCTACCTCGGCCTCTAGCATGGCCTTGGCCTCACCCTCTAGCATGGCCTCGGCCTCGGCCTCTGTCCCTCGTAGGAGCTGCTGATGGGGGCTCGGGCTGTTGAGCGGTAGATGAGGAAGCGCGCGTTCTCGCCATCTGCGAAAGAACAGAGTAGGAATTCAATTAGCATTTGAGAAACAAAACTGCACGACAAGAAAGAACAAATGTGAAGTTTTCCTAGCTCCGTAGCCTCTGGGATAAATACAGACGTCTTCATACCGATCCCTCAGACTCTATCGAGCATGTCCGTGAATTGTGAGACCTATGTAACCTAGAGCTCTGATACCAACTTGTCACGACCCGGATTTCCCACCCTCGGGGTCGTGATGGCGCCTACTCGTAGAAGCTAGGCAAGCCACAAATGATAAACTCCTAACTTCTTTATTTTAAATCCTTTTATCAATCATAGCAACAAGTGTTAAATATTTAAATAACAGCGGAATATGAAATTAAAGTGGAAGACTTAAATTAAATAAACTGAAAAATAATGCGAAAATCGACATGTGCATCTACCCAAGAACTGGTGTCACAACATCCATGAACTACTAAGAGTGCTACATACAAGTGTCTGAACAAGGAAATAAAATCTGTGTCGAGTACAAAAAGGATATAGTGCATCCAAGTAGATAGAAGAGATGTCGGGCCTACGAACGCCTGCAGGACTACCTCGGGATCTCGTGGATTGAAGGTTGGCTCCCGAACTACTGTTGCGCATCGTATGCTGCTCCGGTATCTGTACATAAGTACAAAGTGTAGTATCAGCACAACCGACCCCATGTGCTGGTAAGTGTTTGGCCTAACCCCGGCGAGATAGTGACGAGGCTAGGACTACACTCCAGATAAACCTGTGCAGTTATATAATATATGGCGGAAAAATAAACAAGTAATAAGTAGTTAAAAGGGAGGGGGGTACATGCTTCGGGGAAACAAGTCAATTTAGCAGGAACCAATTAAATACGAAGGAACAGTACCGTAT